ATTTAATGAACCAAACTCAAAGAGACACAACCCTAAATCTTTTCAAATTGATACTCCTTTAATCACATTATTTTTGTCTCTTTTTTTTTTCACTTTAAAGGAATTTAAGAAAAAAAAAACATTGATTTTAGTGTAGATTATATTGCAATTTTAAATTCTTTTGATAAATTTAAAATATTGTTTATTAATGTCAAAAACAAAAAAAATAGTGAAAAATAAATTTAGAATACAGAAAATTAAACCTAAAATATTAAGTGTTCAAGAAAGAAAAATGGGCATAATTTTGAAACAATTAAAAAAAATTGACAAAAAAATGAGATGGATAGTATAATAAGTAAGATGATGGTCCTATAAAACCTTACTTAAAAAAATAATAATATTAATAATTTATTGAGAGGATCGAATCAAGTTAATTAGTTGCAACATAATGCCAAATTTAATGTAGCAAACTCTAAGAGATGTAAAGCGTAAAGTTCTTCAAAAATATAGCAAGGAAGAGGATGGGCTATGCTTTCTGCAGTCATACTTGAGCTATGCTTTCCTTCCGTTGGCCATGCACAGCAGAGATACTTGTATTACTGGCAGTGCCCAGTGTGTAGTGGTGGTACAAAAGCTACCACACACACTGGTGACAGTGCCAATAACCTGATCTGGTAGAAGAGAACCTGAAGCAGCTACATTGGCGTATACAACTCAATTTGCATATACCTGAGTGATCATCGACTGGCTATAACCTCCCCACTTTCAACCCAGGCAGCTTACAGACCACAAACCAGTGGAGGAGACAAGCCGTGACCAAAATCTGTACAAAAGTATAAAGCAGCCATGCAAAAGTTTAACAAATGGCTAAACAACAAGCATATGATCAATCAGAAAACCTCCTGCTACTGACTGCTGCCGGTTGCCCTTGTTGGTTGCTATTAGAGAGTGCAAGAATAGTCTAATGATTTTGTCTTTTCACTACAAACATTATGCACTAGTTTTGCAGTTTTGGTAAACGTTTAGTATATACCACCCTTTGGTTCTTTGCTTATTCTCTATCCCTTGTTCTGTTTTACTTTGAGGAACCTGCCCAAACACAAGCAGAGGAAACATTCCAGAAAATCAGATTAGTGCACTTGCATACTGTTATTTAATGTTAGACATAAATAAAATAATTATATGAATCGTCTTATCTATAACATATGTGTACATAAATAAGAAAAAAGATTTTACAGTTGGTAAAAATTTGAAAGGTCATTTGTGAAAAGATTTGAAAGGTTATTTGGATGTGAACAAAAAAAGAAGCTGCAGTAATTCAAATAGAAAGATAAAACAAAACGTATTTTATTTGTTTTATAAATATTATTTTTTAATTATTTTAAAACTAAACATAATTATTACAATATATATTATTTTATTGATGTACAATGCTTGGATACAATTATCGTAAAATTTAAAAAGTACATCAAAATGAAAAATACATAAATAAAATATTGAACTTAAAACTTTTTATCTAAGTCCAGCCTAATATGTCGATAGCAGGTCTTCAAGCCGGCCATAATGTTGAGTGGGCTTTGGGCTTAGGCCTTCAGCCTAGCCCATGGACACCTCTGGAGCGTGGTGGTCGTTGCACTTTTCCAACTGGAATTTCCAGTTTTCCAGTCCTTGACAACATTGTCAAGCTTTCTTCTTTGACACAGAAGAAGAGAAAAACAATGGCAGGAAGAAAACTTCTGTTGCTGTTGAAGCCAGTTGATGCCTATCATGCTACCCAATCGATCCCGGCCTCTCTCTTCACTAATCCTCGGGTATTATAAAACTCAACTCTCTTTTCACTCTCTCAAGTTTTCCTCTGCTTTTCTTTATTATTATTTTAACATTAGCAATCATGGTGTTTGATGAAATGTCAAAGTAATAGATTGTATTTACTTTACGTATTGTTTTCAATATTTGACAAGTTTTCGTTGTTGGGTTTGTCTTATTTTTGGTTTTCTTTCTCATTTGTTTGGCTTTCATAGCCTTGATGACAATGGCTAAACTTGAGTGTTTATTTAATCTTTAGTTGCTAATAATATGTTTATGAGAAGGTATTAGAGACGTGTTTATTGCTTGCTTCATTTCTTTTGAAGGATGAAAGCTTCTTTGCCCTGGAAACCTTCATTGATAGGCAGAAGATTTGTTGAGTTTTGTTGAATGTGGGTTGTTCTCTTTGTGCACTTTATGATTGCCAATTTACTATCAAGTATTTATGATGTCATTTTAGTTTCCAGGTAATGCTGGTAGCCTATCAAGCATTTTTAACACAACAACTAGCTTTTCTGTTAGAATTAGTCATGCCATAAGCAATGACGGAATGGCTTGCTTTAGTTTGAACTAGGCTTTTTTCCTTCGGTTTTCACTGATAACCAGGAATAGAGGAGTATGTACTCCAAACTTTCAAGCACTGTCTTCAAAGCCTACTCTTGCTCAGTGTTGTCTCTCACATCTATCGCTCAGCAATCCATTTCTCACTTCACAGTGCTTTATTAATTATCTTTTGATCCTAAACAGTTTCCTTCTTTTATTCTTTGTCATCTATCCTTTTTTCCAATTTAGGAGTGGATGGGAGGGGGTAGAAATGATTTTTCATAACAGCTGAGGTGATATAAATTTCCTCTGTGAGCTTAAAAATGAATTTCAATGACCATTGTTAAAGAGTATGAATATGTGATCGTCTACACTCTAGGATGATTGTGATTAGGTCCAATCTGTATCTCTTTTTTCCGTACTTAACTACAAGTTTCAAATCTTCTCCATCATTTCCTTTATGCTGTCTACATACATTCTTATATGGTTATGACGACCCTTGGTCATGGTGGGTGAGTAACATTATAAGTTTCTTTTATGATCTACCTTCTATCAGTCCTTGCAAGGTACCAAGATTTTAGTCCCTTAATATTTGGATAACTTTTCAGCGTAAAAGGGAGGAAATATAACACCTTTGCCACTTGTAAATTTCAATTTCAAGAATCATGAAACCATCCCTTGAGGTTTTGAAATTTTATGAACCTCTCATTGTTGTCTATATATTAACTGCCCCAGCATCAGTTGTTTGGCCATTGGTTGTCACAAATTATCTCATCTTTCTAGCTGGAAAAGTTTAGGGTAAGTGCCCAAAATCCTGCTCTTTTGCATCCTTCCCTTTTTAGTCAGCCCTCGTCATGATTACTGGTTACACCAGGTTGACAAATACTAGCTTATCAAAAAAATTGGTTGACAGATACTAGTTCCCACAAGAAGATAAATTTGCTTTCAGTTTGCAAATTAGAGAATCAATAGGTGATCCATGGCCAAGTGTGGATTTGAATATGATAATCTAAAATACAGAAAGTTTTAGTCCAAAAGCAATTATAGTCAAAAGTTTTGAGAGCCAAATTTTGGGCCTCACTTATAGAACATGCATAACCTTTTGTCTTCTTAGCCTGTCAAACCACTGGACCACTGACATATTTGTTGAATTATTCTCTCTTTTGAACTCTCTGTGGTTTCAAAGACCAAACTCAAGAACTTCTTACCGATGGTATAACAGGCTTTTGATCTCACCTAGCCTCTCAAACTTCACTTGACAGTACTTATTGATATTGTATTCTTACATAAATAATGTATCATATAATTTAAATAATTTTCCTACTTGTATAATACATTCACGTTCCATTCATGACAATGCATATATATCATGACAGAAACACACCTCGCATCATATTGTATCTCACCTAGGTTGACACCATTTCTGATAGATCTTTTGCTCCTATGGCTGACCACATGGACTCCAAGACTTACATGAACTCCAAGACTTGGATTGCCATTGCATGCATCCCCCACCCCACCGAAAGAAAAAGGGGTTTCCATTATTTGTTACTTGCATCATTCATCCATGTATGAACTACCACGTTTAAGGATCACTGAGACAAAGTAAAAGACAAAATTTTGAGGTTACTTGCTATAACTGTTTTATTTAGTTCTCTCTCTCTTTCCCACCTGACACTGGAATTAATTTCTTATTATTTACACTCACTTTTTCTCTTCATTATGTCACAGGTTTTCCATTATCTTGATAACAGATGCAAGGTGCACAAGGAGGCCGTAGACTTTTGTCAGAAAATTTTACAGAAAAAGTCAGTTGATTGGCAACCCATTTTTCGTAACGATTTATCGCAACCAATTCGTAATGTGGATTTGGTTGTTACAGTTGGTGGTGATGGGACTCTTTTGCAGGCCAGCCATTTCATGGATGACTCAGTTCCAGTTATTGGGGTAAATTCTGATCCTACTCAAGCTGAAGAGGTTAGTTCATTTTTCTGGCCAAGCTTTCAATTTGCAAGCTGTATGTCAATTGAGAAATTCTTTTTCATTTCTTGATATTGATACATCTCAGTTGGTGATGCCCGTTATTTATATTTTCTTTTGTTTAGGTTGAAGAATTCAGTAATGAGTTTGATGCTAATAGAAGCACTGGCTACTTATGTGCAGCAACCGTGAAAAACTTCGAACAAGTAAGGATGCATATATAGGGTGACAGAGAAATGACATGTTTAGGGGTAGTTTACAGGCAGAACTAATTCTTTAGTGACAAATTTGTTGTCCAATATCATTTGACTCTGGAAAGGCATAAAATTTTGTGCCTATTTAAGTTTCAGAATAAGCTTTTTACTTGTAACTTGACATTTTAAGAAGTTAAAGGGGACCTTAGGTAAAAGCAGTAGGTTCTTAACTTACATTCCTGTGCTGAATTTAAGCTTTACTATTTTCCCATGCAAAGCATATCTTCTAGAGTTCCCTTGTATTTTAGCACGATTTATTTTAACTAGCTTGGTCCTTTATACATTAGAAATGACATAGAGCATAATGTTCTTTTTTAAATAAAAGCTCTTGCTGTAGTTTTAGATGTTTGACATTTCTTTCAGGTACTGGACAGCTTTCTAGAGGGTCAGACGGTTCCTTCTAAGTTGTCAAGGATATCAGTATCTGTAAATTCAAAAGTTCTGCCTACATATGCTCTTAATGACATTCTGATTGCACACCCATGTCCTGCAACACTTTCTCGGTTCTCATTCAAGTAAGGAATTTTCATGGATATGTCAGTAACCAGTTATACATACTTTTACATGCTTTAAAATCTTCATTTTGCATTTTGGCAGAATTAAAAGGGATGACAATACATGTTCGCAATTAGTTAACTGCCGATCAAGTGGTCTCAGAGTCTCAACTGCTGCAGGATCAACAGCTGCCATGCTCTCAGCAGGAGGTTTTGCAATGCCTATTTTGTCTCAAGATCTCCAATATATGGTAAGAGAGCCTATTGCAACTGGAGGAGCCATTTCTGGCCTAATGCACGGATTAATCAAGTCAGACCAGTCCATCGATGCTGCATGGTTTTCTAAAGAGGGTTCGATATATGTTGATGGCTCTTATGTTTTCTTTACAATCCAAAGTGGCGATACCATTGAAATATCTTCTAAGGCCCCAGTTTTGCAAGTTGTTTTGCCTCCTCATTTGTTATCATAAAACTCAATGTACAGAGCTGGCAAATGCTTATCAAAAAGACCTCCAACATTTTTGAACCATGACTAAATCATCTTTCTTGTAAATGCAGAAGGGACACATAGAGAACGATGTTCCTTTTCTTCATAGTTAATTCAAATCTTTGATTCTTTGAAAGCCACAAATGTGAATTTACCCTCAAGTACTTCAGAATAACATGTGGGGTTGGGTTGGAGACCTAATGTGGACACCATGTTTAGAGCATTATGAATATTAGTAGGCTGAATTGGCAAGGTGTGGCCCTTTCTGTTAGACATTTTGGAGATAGAATGATGTTGAATCTTTGTAGTATTTGTCTGAAGTCCATATTATGCAAATATAAAGATAATGCTCTGAATATCATTTACTTTCTTTCTTCTCCTTTCTGCCTTGTGGATATTAAACATAGCAGCATATGAGTGTAGCTTTAAGGGAAGAGAACAAAAGAAACTACCCTTACCCTGCAAAACGGGATTATGTTTCTAACATGTACCCTGACTTTAAAGCCTCTTCACGTGAGTTACCACACCTTGCCATGTGAGTTTTAACTCAGAAACCTTTTGTTCCTTCTTTTATCAATTGGTTTCTTTCCAGTTGGAAGATTCTTCTTTCAGATGCACAATTATTTCAACTTTGAAGGAACTCATCCTCCATTGTATCAACATTCTAGAAGAAAATTTAGTGATAATCTGAACTTCCTGCCACAGGAGGAAGAAGTATATAGCAATTTTATTGTTTAATTTTTCAGTTTTATGGGGAATTTCAGGCTCAAGTATAAGCTAAAACCGGAATTCTAAAGATCTTCAACAGTACTTACAATCATAACTCATAAGGTTTACATTCTCGACATTGAGTTGTCAGAAGAATGATCTAATTTAGATTTTGACCTAAAGGATAATGTACCCCAAAAATTGTTTACATAAATAATACTTTGCTAATTGTAAACATAAATTATCTTCCTGAGATATTTTGAGGGCAGCAATTACCTTTTACTTTTTGGGCAACTGGCTGGCTCCACTTTTTGATTTTTTTGGAATGTCTTTGTCTTATACTTTGGTCACTAATCAAAGCATAAAATCAAATTCTTGTCATCAACCAAAACAGAAGAAAAAGTCTCATTGCCGAAGCAGGAGTTTTCTTCTGTCGGGACAAGGCTCCTAAAGGGCGACAAATCTATGTCCCACGCACACATCTCAGGTAGTCCAAATCAAACACTAAGGAGACTTCTAACACTAGCCACAAAAAGAAAAAGCATGCTAAATAAGTACGCAAATACATGAAGTTGACTTCCCAAGAAACCTCCCAGACGAGGGGCCTAACCATTATCCACTCAGAAAACTTGAAAATGTCTTACTTAGAGATATTTTGCATATGGATAATAATGGATAATTAAATCCTTAACCAAAAAATGAAAATGATTTTTCTAATTTGGAAGCTACCATCTTAGGGGTCTCAATCTGCCAGCAATTTCCAGCTATATGTTTGATAGAAAAGGAAATTGTTCCATTCACAGGCATGGTCTGAGAAAAGGGTATAGTGCCTAGCCATACATTTCATCACAATAGCACAATTTTCCAAGCAAAAAGATCTTACCTTCATCAACTGAAACAGTACCTTGAGATAGAGCTTGCATGAATGTTGCTTTAAGGGGCAAACTCTTCAGGAGGGTTCCATTCCTTAGAAAAATCAATCAAGGACATAAAGTGGCAATCATGAACAAGATGAATACTACATGGTCCTGTTATATATCCACATACCTTTGAAATTTGGCAATGACAATGAGGTACCAATGTTTTTCTTTTTCCAAGTTCATGCTCCCACACAATGGTTTAATTGACTTTGCCATATATATTTTTTTCTCTTTTTACTGTCAAACAAAAAGCTAATTATAGAACGTAAAGTTTCTTTAACACTGCATGTCCATCAAATTCTACATCTATTTGATGTCGGCAGCTGCTTCATCCACACAAAGTTATCATGAAAGTCGGCATAGCAAAAAAAAAAAAAAGAACGGTGCAATTCTTTACATTTGTGATTCTGACACGTGCATTGCTGCTGTTTTGGTTCATTGCTTTGTTCTTAGACTATGATCAAAGTAACCTTATCAGTATGACTAGTCTAGCCGAGGATAAGCTCATGACTTTGGAATCTACAATCTGGAAAATGAAGATTTCGTTAAAATTCAGCAAATGAGCAGGAAAGTAAATTAAGCATACCTATATTTTTTCTGCTTACGTAAACATTTGAGTGCGATTACGAGAAAGCTGAGGCCGCTTTATAGGAGAGATTATCAGGTTCCTTAGTGTCATTGCCGGGTTAACTCCACCAGCTCCAAAAGCAGGGTGAGCACCTCCCCTTCTATTCCCAACATCAACCGGAATGGCTGCTTGTTTTGCTGGTGAGCCACCAGATATGTCAAAATGACCAGAGTTTGAACTATTCTGTCTTGCAGGCCATACATCCTCTCGCGGTCCTGGAGTTTTGGGGGAAAAGATCGACCAATCTGCAACAAATAAGTTAACTGGCTTGGGAAATAATTAAAAAAACTGACTTACTAGGCAGCTGACTCAAATCATGTTGTAGCAGGATCCAAGTAAAAATATTAAAACTTTGTCAGTTATTATTATACGGAAATATAAAAGAGAACATAACTACCCCTTCGTATAGGGTCTCTGCCATCCATCATGTTAGCAGCTGGATTTGAGAATAAGTCAGCCTCATTTCTAACATAGAAATTATTTGAAGGTTGGCTTGCCGACCGTTTCATTGACTCATAGTCACTCCTTAACTGATCATACAATTCATCAAGCTTTCTCTTCTGCCTGATATTTTGGATATATGCAAAATATAGCAGGGTTAAAGAAGCATAAAATAAACTTTGGGATACAGAACTAACGAGTTCAAAGAGAAAAAAACAGACTGGCCTTGATTTCTCAGAAAACTTTTCTTGGAGCTCTTGCTTATCTTTTGACAAACTCTCAATTTCCTGCTCCATCATCTGACACCTCTTGGCCATTTTCTGATATGCAGTATGCACCTGCTCCAGTTTCTCTGAGAACTTTTCCTGCATTGCCTCGCATTTCTGACGGCACTGAGCTACAATTCTGTTCATCTTGTACTGCATTTCTAATTCCTTTTGCCCAATGTAAAACATCACACTTCTGTATGCACTCTTCATCACTAAATTCGCTAAGGAAATGCATGTCTGAAAGGTTTATTGTCATAGAACAGAATACATTCTCTCTCTTAATAGCAAACTCTTTCAAATGAAACAGAACATCAAAAACAACGAACGAGATCCTCTTCTTATTCTATTTTGGTAGCTCTCTAGTGTCTGATACAGTGAGGTTTCAGAACAAAAAAACCACATAAATGGAAAATCACATGGTCTAGATTATGAAGGATACATATCTGCGGAGACACGCCAGCCATTGCCATCTGCAATAAAATGCATGATGTTAGTGAGCAGCAAAACAATTAGATAAATAACAAAGCAGCACCACAATGGAAGGCAAAGAAAAACTAGAGCATGGTGTAGATTTAACTAGGGAGATGTTTTAATCAGTAAAAACAAGCTGTATGCAATAATCCAAGTGAAGCATTTGCTTACATTTATCCATTCATCATTTGGGTTGATATCCACAGGTTTCATAAGACTGAGAATCAAAATTCCCATATGAGTTGAGTAGAATTGAGATTAATAAGATATAACATACAAGTGAGTAAAAGTAAAAGCGGTGCAGAACAATCCTAACCCTGGTGCTTGATAACAAATTAACGACAACAGTCACCTATATATTCTGTAAGCAGTCTACAAATTAGTGAAAAGAGGAAAGAAAAGTCTAAGACAGACCATCATTGCCAAATAACTATATTTTTTCATTTAGAATCAGGTCATTATTAAGATATTATAAACATCCAATTTCTTTTTTGTTTTCATTTTATTGTGACACCTAATGCCTTAGTTTTAGAAAGCATTGCAAAGACCAACATCCACCAGATAAAATTCTTACCTCTTAGAGAGAACTTGATCACAAATGGGACAAGCTGCATCATTGCTAAGAATCTTGCTCGCATCTTCAGTGCCTATTTACAATGTCAAGGAATCTTGGCAATGTACCTACTATTTCTTTATCCTAAACAATGGAAAGAAACAGATATAAAATGTATACATGCTGCAATGGCAGAATAAAGAAATGCATTAGGATACACAAGAGGTGACCACAGGTTGTGGAAATGGCTCGCCCTTCTAATTCACGCCAGCATGCGTTGCATCTCATCTCAATTGATAGTATTTGTCTATACAGAAACTATATCTGCATATCACAACCAACCATCAGGGCAAGATTCTGTAGGAGTATGTACTCCTGTATACAGTTTCAAGTCAATGAATGCCCCAGCTTGTTGTTTCATGAATTAAAGGAACAAAGCTTTGGCCCCAGTAAGAGGAACTTCATGGTGTTAACCAATAGAATCTTATGTTCTGTTTGGTTGTCATTTTTGCTTCCTAAGAAGTAAGATGTTGCTATAAAATAAATAAGCAAAAGTCTTGAATGAAAAATCCTAGTAATTGATCTAAAAATGAAAATAAACCTAACTGCACTTCTTATTACAAAAGTAAAATCATGCATTCTGTTGTTCACAATATTTTTCATTTTTGTTTTAAATTATTTAAATATTTTTCAGGCTTTTGTTCTCAGAGAAAGTTATAAACAAATAGGATAAGAACCAGAAATTGAATCATTGCATAATTTTTAAAATTTCGGGAAATTTGTAGGGAAAATTCAATATTCTAACCTGTCCAGCCATATTTTTGAATAAGTGATTCAGAAATTATTCATAATCAGGTTTTGATAATATATCATCGGATTTTAGGAGAAAAACCGTGAAAACCTTATAAATTCGCGGAGTAATTAATCAGGAAGACTAACATTTGTTTTGATCTCGATTCTGATATTACTATGAGGCCCGATCAAATCAACGGAAGTTATAATTTTATGAGCTTCCAAACAAGGAAAAAGAAAACTTATAGTTCGAGATTTCAAACTTTTCTTTTTCGTCTTCCCAAATTTTCTTTGCAACCAAACAGACTTATAATTACCGTTTTATCAGAAAGTTGACCGGATATTCCTCACAAAACCTCAGATTCTCTAGCTTGATCAAATCCCTACAAATGAACAGATCATAAATGAAGAAAAATTAAAAAAAATGGAAAAAAAAAGAGATGAAACGGAGAACAGAGGAAGAAATCGAGAAAGCAACAAAAGAAAAGTTAAAATCGGAGAAGCATTTGCTTCACCTTCAAATTTCCTGACTATTTTTCAGAGGAAAATGAGCCTCTTTTTCGCTTTTATTCTGTGTTCGTGAAAGCTCTGAGAGGAAGATATGAACTTTGGCGCGAACTCTTCTATTTAAAACTACTAGAGTTTTTGAATATTCGAATAAGCTCGCTAACGGTTGAAATTACGCAAATAGGATCAAATGTATGAGAAACGGGGAACTTGAATAGGGTAAAAGGGTAAAATTAATTACCTTTAGTCTAGTGCGAATAACCAAGTAAGAATGCAACCATTGGAACTAGAGCCGTATATTACTCTTTCAAAAACTTTCTATTCTTTAAACCTCTATTAGCATAATACTTTTAAGTAAGAGTGATTAATTTTTAAATTAATTTTTAAATTAATTTTTAATATTTTCTATTTTTTAAAAAAATACAAAGAAGAGACATTTTTTACCCAATTCAGTGAGGAAAAATTAAAATTTACAATTAATTTTGAATTATTATATTATATCATATTAAATGACAATGGGTTTTGAGCAAAAGGTCGTTGAACATATATTTCAACCCTTGTAATTGCAATTTTAATGCATAGGTCTGCCTCCACAGATATTAAGAAGCAGCAGTGATTTAATAGTCTTTTCTAATCTAACAGGTTGTGGCTTATAAATTTTTAATGTAGGCAATGAATTAAAAATGAGTGAGTACACTCACTATATATAATTAAGTCAACTTCATTCCTTTCTCCTAAGCAAATTTATATACACATATTAAAATAGATTATTGATAAACAATGTGCATTGATTTATCTAAATAAATCCAAAATTATACTTAAACCAAAAAAACAATAATAACAAATGGACATTTTAGCCATCAAGTTTTTTCAAAATGTTACTTCTAGGCTTATTGAACTTTTATTTTTAGAAATCAAGCTACTTGAAAATTTATTTTAGTACTAATGACTTATTTACATTTTAAACTTCGTTCAATTAGAAATTATGTTATGTAAGAAAATAAAAAATTATAATATAAAAACAATGAATCTATTAAGAATTATACATCGAATATATATTTTTTAATGAGTTTGTGTTTTTCTTCTTCTCCAAAATAAATACTTGATGATTTAATTTTATAAAATTAAATTGAATGATTTAAAGTAACGTAATGGTTAAAATGTGTATTATTCTCAAAAACAAAATTAAAAAATTGATAATTGAGGTTTATCAAGCTTATTTTAGATTAGAGAGTTTCGAAAGTATCGTGCACAATGTGATCTGATTCTTCATTATTTTTTGATCCATTACTTTTTAATTCATAAGTAAGACTTTCACATTCATGGAGTTTTGAACAAAAAAGTAACGGAGGGAAGTTCAGTCCCGTGTGGTGGGGGCTCCTCATTGCACCACACGCCTATTCTCCACTACACACTGCAATGGAGAAGGTAGGAATTACGACAGATGACTAGATTGGTTGGTCTAAATTATTGTTTAATTTTATTTTATGTTATAACTTTTATTAAATATAAGTTGCCACACCCTAAATCTTAGTCTTGGCTTGACCTAATAATTTTATATATGACACGATAACAAGACAAAAAGTTAAATAAATTTTAATTTAAAATAATAATCGTATTTTGTTCATTAAATATATAAAAATTTTATGTCTTAAATATATTAAATTTGCTTAATTTGTTTAAAACATGTTTAGTTAATTATGTTATTGTAAATCTAAATTTATTTGTTATTAATTTAATTAATTGTGTAAACATATCTACCAATACATTATTGACCCAATTATGAACCTTTTAAACCCCATATAAATACTTTGTATTATTATGGTTGATGATGATCGTGATGGATTTTATTATTGATCGATAATGGTAGTGAATTTTATTATACTTTATGGATATTATTATTTTGTTATAATTATTTTCATGATTATTAGTTTTAAATTTAAATAATAAAGTTATATTTCATTTGTAATTGTATACATTTTAATTTAATCATGTTAATCTTTTTGTATGGATCATGGCTATCATGTTAATCATATTTATTGTGTAAAATAGACATTTAAATCTAGTTATTTTAATCATTTAAAAGAGTTAAAAAATTTAATTCGATTCATTTAACAAATGTGTTAGGCATATTGTATCATTTTACACGCTTAATAAACGTTTCCTTATTTGTGTTTAGAAATTATGGTGTATTCATATTTATTTGTATAACTATTAATATAATATATTTACACGAAACAGTCAAAATACACAAACACGAACTATTACATTTAATTGCGACAATGCCACACACTCATGAGGTGACCATTGGGAGCATGTAATGTTAAAATAAATCTTCCAACTACATCATTTATTCTAAATGAAGTACCTCAAAGTCTATTAAAGTCAAGCTAAAATGTTGAAGGCTAAAATAAATCTTCCAACTACATCATTTATCCTGAATAAAGTACCTCAAAGTCTATTAAAGCCAAGCTAAAATGTTGATAAAGTCTATAAACAAAAACTCTTAAAACCAAAATCCATAATAACCATAAAATATAACCTAATTAAATCTCTAAATCTAACCCCAAATAATATCCTTTTAAATGCACACTCTTTCTAAATGCATTAATCCCTAATATTCATTTTTTGGTATCCAAAAAAATGTTATTAAAAGAATGAGCTCAACAGTCCATGTAACAAGAATATCTAACTAGCTGGATCAAGTCTAATAAATAAAACAATACTTTAAAATCACAATTTGAAATTCATGATATTTTATAAATTAATCACAATTAAACTGATAATTGGAAAACGGTATGATTTATAAACATTCCAAAATAATTATTTTTGTTCTCTTTTGCTTATATCGGAATGCATAATCCCATCAAATTATTTCAAATTCAAAATAATTACAATTTCATATTTGAAATTAAATTGAAAAAACAATTATATTTACTCAAAGCAATTAATCATCTGATCACCATAATATAAATACTTTATCAAAATAGTTTTTAAATAATAATTTTCCACTTCTCGCCTAAATGGCGAATGTTGAACCCATGATTAGATGGCTAGATGGGCAACTCTCTTTGTATTGTTTAGTTTTACTTTATGTTGTTATTATTTTAATTGTGTTGTATAAGCATATAATATTAATAGTTATATGAATAAATACGAGTATAATATGATTAACTAATTATGTCAGAATTCGAAAAAAGCAAACAGACCCATGATTAGATGACTAGATGGGTAAGTTTTTTTGTATTGTTCAATTTTATTTTGTGTTATTAATATCTTAATCATATTATATAAACATATAATATTAATAATTATATAAATAAATATGAGCATAACACGATTGATGAATAGTGTTAGAATTTGAAAACCGTATACGGACTCATAATTAGATGCCTAGATGGGCAGGTCTCTCTGTATTGTTTGATTTTATATTATGTTATTACTTTGTACAAGGTTAGGCAGCAAGTTAAATGTATTATAATTGCAAGATGGACAACACACTTCAAACGCGGCGTACGGGGATGCTAAACAATCAGATTTTTGCATTTTCTGGTATCATTCTTTAATTTTCAACCACAACAAATACGAAATCAGTGGTACGTGAATTCATTTTATTATTGCAATAAAGGAGTTGAAAACAAGGGTCGATGGTATAAAAGGCTAAACTTAGGAGTTTTTTTTTTCAAAAATGCTCCTTAAATATAAAGTATTTTTGAAAATAGCTCTCTTAATAATTTTAATTAATTTTAGTTAAGAGAAATTAATTTTATATAAAATTATTTTTAATGAAACTGACCCATATGTTTAGGTCTGTGTCTCAAATCGATTCATATTTTCTAAACTTTTTTCGTCAAATTATTCATTTCTGGAGTATTCTTTATTAAAAAAAAAAACAAACCTTTAAGTATTTTAGGCATTTTGAAGTAATTTTTTATACATGAAGAAAATGTTTTGAACGTTTTGAGCATTTTTAAGTATTTTGAAGTAATTTTTGATACATGAAGAAAAATCTTTAAGTATTTTAAGCATTTTTCATTAAGTAGATATATTAGTTGATTATGTTGTTAAATGGAATATGATGTATTGTTTGAAATTGTTGATTTTGTTAAATAAAATTTCGTAATTTTGGTAGCTTTTAAGTATTGCATAACCAGTTTTAAGTATTGCGTTACTAATTTATAGGCATTGCATGATCGAATTGTAGGTATTGCGTAATTGATTGATATAGCATTGCATGATTGATTAATAAGGGATTGCATAACTAGTTAATAAGGTATTGTATGGCTAGTTTTTAGATGTGACTTAGGCATTGCAATACTTAAAAACTAGAGACACAATGCTTAAAAATTAGTCTTGCAATATCTAAAAATTAATGACACAATGCCTAAAATCAATAATACAATATCTAATAACTAATTGATTTGCCTACTCGCAATTAAGTTTAAGTTGCCAAAGTAGTGTTCTAATTTAAAAACATGTCTAATCAATTTCAACCCCTCAAATTTTAGATTCTATGAATAAATTAATAAACCAAAAAACCTAAAATACGTATCTTAATGTTATCTCTACTCTTTGGATGACGAAAAAGAGTTAGATGGTGAGATAGACAATATTTGACAAGTAAGAGAAATCGGGTCTTAATTTTGAAATTTTTGTTTGGATGACGGAATGGAGAAAATCGAAACTATTCTAAATTGACTGAAATGGTTTAAAAGGTATTATTGTCAAGTCATGTCAAAAATTGATTAAAAATAGTTAAAATTATAATGAAGGATATTTTTGAATTGAGTTTATAAAGAAAGTTCAATTTTCTCTAAAATTAAACTCCTTCACTGTAATAATTTAAAAGAATTGAGACCTTAAGTTTCAAACCCTTTTAAAAAGGAATAATGATTGGTAAGAAAATATCGGGTATTAAATTAAATTTTTCAAAATTTGCCTAAGTTTAATTGAATAATGTTATACCCAAAAAAAGGTTAAATTGGATATTAAGTATATACAAATTTTCATGGTAAAAAAAAGAGAGTCAAATTAGATTTTTACTAGTATTACATTTGGAAATAAATAACTTTTGAGTGATACTTGTAGTGATTAATATATTTTAAAAGATATGAAGTCGTGGGTTACAAAATACAAACCACTCATCTTTCTTTATAAGTTAACAATCCTTTGGGAATGTGAGGTATAAATCATTTGATTTCAGATTTTTTCTCAAAAATTACTAAAATGCTATACCTAATGATACATTTTGTAAATCATTAATTTTTTTTATTCGAGAAGTAGGAAATTCAAGTTTGATTCTTTGAATAATGATTATATACACAAATCATTAATAAGTCAAATGTTTACGTATATAATTATGATGTCCTATCTCACATTGGATATCTAATCACTTGAATTTAAGCTTTTTTGAATACTTATAAAACAAGTTTCTATATTAGTGGTGTTTGATATCAAGTCGTTACAATTGATATGTGAACATGTATCAATTTAATATAAATTTTCATATTGTGTTGTTAAGATCTTAATTTTATAAAATAGATATTGATTGTGATTTGATGTGTAGTTTTGATGTTAGTTTAAATTCAATGGTACAGGTTGATGCCACGACTCGTGATCTTTCAACTTAAAAACGAACATAATTTGAAATTATCAAATAATCCGACTTGAAATAATATTATCCACACTTTGTAACAAAAAAACATAAAAATCTTATCTACTTAAACTGCGACAACCAATTATATTGCGCAATTGATAAACCATAATTGAAGCACTTTTCCCCAAATTTAGGAGAGAGAAACAAGGTTAGGGTTGTTGAGGAACATAATGTTGAACAATGAACAACGAATGAAATAAATTTCAACGTTTGCATTGACTGAAATTGTCATCCAAATACTGGAGATGCAGAGTAATTTATGGAATTTTCCTTGGGCCCACACTTCATTGTCACCGCCACGGTTCGTGTATCACGGATTTCTCCAAACGCCGTCGTTTCAAGTGCTTAGAGTAACCGCAGGCAATGCGCAGAGCTTCTGCAATCATCAGCCGCAATTCAAATGATATGTATTCCGTATAATATTAAAAATATTTAATAAAATTTTAAAATAATTAAACAGATGTATGATAAATGATAATTTCATTCGTAGTATTTATTTATTATACTTAATAAAGACATTTTTTGGTAGTTTATCTTTTTTTCTTGTTTTTACTATTAAATTATAAGCTAATTTCTTTAAAATTTTTGTAAGGTAAAATTATAGCTTGTTAAAATATATATAATTAAAATAATATAGAAGGTTCAATAATTTGTTTATATAAATTATTGTTATTATATAATATGTTTAATTAGATTTTTTTATGATAATTCTACATAAAAAGAAGAGAGGGTTAAGAACCTTTTTATGGTTAATTAGAATTGACTTTATATTTTTTTTTTCACAAAATAGCACTTTATATTACTATTAAGAACATTAAGTAAGAAAACCAATAAATCAAAATTTGGTTTACCTTTTAATTAATCATGAAATAGTAAATTTTTTAATATTTGAAAAAATTACTTTTGATTTGCACAAAATAAAAGTTGCAATTTTTTTAATTTACGAAAGAAAAAAGACTCCTTAAAATAATTTTTCTTCATATTTTTATTTTAAATATTGATGTTGGCCTTTTTTTTTTCTACATTTATGTGTAATTTTTTAAAACATTTTTTTCTATAAAAATTCAATTTGGATAAAAAAAAGGTAGCAAAAAAAAAAGGTCTAGTAACTTTATTTTTACCGGTCGGAGCCCGACAGAGCCAGGGAGGCGGTCTGGTCTCCCGAGTCAAGGACACAATCCGAAATCTGCCACGTGTACCTTCCTCAAATCATAGCCTCAAAAAATATCCTTCCAACCTCCCCGCCCCTTATAAAAGCCAACCAAACCAAATATTAAAGAATATCGAAAAATCAAACTCAGAAATTATTAAAAAAAAGGGAAAAAGAAAAAGAAAAAGGGAAGAATCCGTTCATTGGCCTCTCTTTTCTCCCTCCTCTCTTAAACCAGAAATAAACCCTTCTCTCTTAAAAGGAGGAAAAAAAAAGCTGAAAATTTGTGAAAATTGTAATTTTGTTAAGAGAGAGAGAGATGAAGATTCAGTGCAACGTGTGCGAGGCGGCGGAGGCGAAGGTGCTGTGCTGCGCGGACGAGGCGGCGCTGTGTTGGGCGTGCGACGAGAAGGTCCACGCTGCTAACAAGTTGGCCAGCAAGCACCAGCGAGTCCCGCTCTCTTCTTCGTCTTCTCAGATGCCTAAATGTGACATTTGTCAGGTACTTTCCAATCAAGAAAAGAAAATTTAAAGAACCTTCTTTTATTTTTTATTTGTGGAATTTATGTTGTTTTGAGGTCAAAGTTTTTAGGTAAAAGGTAAGGTGAAATTTGGATTTATTTTCAAATTTTAAGTGGAATTGGCTTAGTGAATAAGGAAAATTAAGGGAAAACAAAGAGTGTCTGTGAGAGAAATGAGAAACTGAATTAGGGGAAAACATTTTGTGTTTTGTATCTTCACTTTGATCAAATTAAGAAATGATTGCAAAGTTTTGATTTCTTGGCAAATGAATTAGGTTCTGTTTTGGTTGTTGCTTTTATTACTTACTACTTTTTGTTTTTAATTGCTATTTTTTGGACTATTTTTAATTGCTTTATTCTCCCTTTGAAAGTTGCTAAAGAATCCTAAGCGACTAGTAAAAAACGAATTTATAGTTGATTAAAAATAAATCAATGATTAAAATGTAACATTTAGTTTATGTAAAATTAAAAGTATGTATTTAATTTTTAATTCTTCAGATATGTAAATTGTTTTTGGCTTCTGGGGAAGCAAACGCAAGTACCGAAAGCAACAACCAAAGGTTACCTGGTGAGGTTTGCAATCTTAGGTTATATTTTTATTATGGTTCTAAAAATGAACACGGCTATTGCTGGAGCCCATTTTCCTTGTGATCTGTCTGTTGCTACATTGGACATTATTGCCCTGAAACTCTAACTTTGACGTGTACCACAATTATTGTGGTAGCTGGCTTCTTAATCAAAACAAATAGCTCTTCACTGATGATTTTGTCTCAAATTTGTGATGTTCCTTTGCATCTATATGAACTTGCAATGCTTTTGGCTGTTTTTGCTTTCTATCTATTAGAACTTGTGCTGCTACACTTCGTTTTCTTATGTTGTGTGATGGTGCTTCCTGACTATTTGAGAGTGACCTTAGACAGTATTCCCTTTTGTAGCTGAGGAAGCTCATTAGGGAAAAGAAAGAGGAGTTGCCAAGCAACTGCGATCCATTTTCAGGAGTCACTAAAGACTCAGAAGAAGCAGCCTTTAACATGATATGTAGGAAAGAGAATTAAATGATGTCTTATGCAAAACTTGGTGCATTTTAATGCAATCCAATTGCTGATGTTGTTCATTGAAATTTAGTATCTTTTTAACCAAGATGTAGAAGGATGGGGAGAAATATGGTGTTTCTGGAATTGAGTTTTGGAGGGTTGAGTTTCAAACAAATTGATTTTGTGGCTTAGTTGTCATCTCATGGTTTTGTTGTTTTGGAATAAGCCCTCCCTATTATGATCAATTAATGTTGACGAATTAACCTTTTTTGACAGGAAACATCTGGATTGTTCTTTTGTTTGCAAGATCGAGCTTTACTCTGCCGAAAATGTGATCTTGCTATACATACAGCAAATACGTATGTGTCTGGTCATCAGAGATTTCTGCTTACTGGAGTAAAAGTTGGTCTTGAAACAACAGACCCTGGTGCATCTTCTTCCAATGTCCAATCAGCCTCTAATGAAAAGACCTCAGAAACTAAATCTAATTCTACATCTAGAAGGGGGACTCCAATGGCATTTACTGGTGGACAGAATGAGGTTCTACCGGCAAATGCTGGAGTTGGGAACAGTGTGCCGACTCAAGTGTTGTATGCTGGGGGTTCTGCAGCTGGAAGCATTCAATCATGGCAAATGGATGATTTATTTGGGCTAACTGACTTTAATCAAAGCTATGGTTACATGGATAATGTGTCATCTAAGGTATGCTTATAGTTGTGGTTTTTATGCTTTGTATATTGTAGTTCCCATTTGGTGTGGATGCCACCCATCTTCTTAACATTCTACCATCTTTCTAATGATGATTTGTGTTTTTCTGAAGGTATACATAGTTCTTTTTACTAGGGTGGTAATTAAGTAATCCCACATCAGACATCCTTCTACACTGGGGGTTAGCTTATAGTTGTGGTCTGACCTTGCCATGGTAAAGTTGGTTGTTACATGGCATCGAATGAAGAACTAAGCTTTAATCTATTGGTCACACAGTCAACTATTCTATTTGGTACCTATTTTTGCGAAGTTAACTAGTTCTGTCTTTACCTGTTAGGTTTGGCGTGTGCTGGTTCTTAGTTCTTACTATTTTGGCTCTTTTAAAATGGAGAAGTCTATGCATCTTGATCATTGATGTACTCTCAATTTTCCTAGTTTGGATTTGGTATTATTAAGTTGCAGTGTGAAGTATGGTGGGAGAGAGGAGAGACTCTGGCTATAGAGTTTGGCAGGGTGCCTTCCATTCTCAACACATACACGCCACTTTTTTCTTATTCTCTGTCCTTACTCAGAACCTTATACGTAGACTGAATAGAAATTTAGCAACCATTGAGCCAGAAGTCTTTAAACTTACTGCTATTGGAGGATTAAATGTTTTTGGCAGAACATATGGAAGAAGAAAATTTAAGTTGTATGAAAATTTTCTTTGAAAAGAAACAAACAGTACTTTTTTTGATCATGTTATACTAATTGTTAGCTATATGAGTAAATTAAGCTATACAGTGTGGTCATGTGAGTTCTATTGTTCTAGTACTATATATCTTTTAAAAGGTCTGCTTTATGCCGCTAAGAATTCTGGATTACTTTTGCTGGATTCTGCCAGGCTGATAGCGGCAAGCGTGGAGATTCTGACAGCTCCTCAGTCTTGAGATCTGCTGAGGAAGAGGTTGATGATGATGAGTGCTTGGGTCAGGTGCCAGAGTCCTCTTGTGCAGTACCGCAAGTGCCTTCGCCACCTACAGCCTCAGGGCTATATTGGCCAAAAGATTCTCACAATCAATCTGATGGTGTGGTTTTTGTGCCTGACATATGCAGCTCAATTGTGAAAAATCCTTTCCATTCTCGGTATCGTGGCTTCCCTCCAAAACGCCAGCGACAAATTTAGAATCATCTTCTAAAGTTTTTTGCACAAGTTAAGTCTTTCAACAGTTTCAGATCCACCTTGTCAGGTGTGTTTTTAGCCTATTATGTATGTAGGTCTCTGTCCTTCCAAGTACCTATTGTGGCTTGAGCTACTTGCTTCCGGTTTGGGCTAAGCCACATTTTTCAATGTAGATTCTTCTCATTCTGCAGTTGCTATTTGGGTTGATAAGGTAAAACCGAAGCAGAAAAGGTGTACTAGAAAAAGCTTGTTAATTGAAGGAGTTAGTATTGTTTCTGTTAACAGCTTGTATTTCTTCATGATTCACAATATAACCTTGACCAACTTAATTGGTATCTGTGTTATAAAATTCAGACAGCCTGTTTGAATTTTCCATTATTTGTATGATCTTGGCAAAAAGCAGTGAGATCTTTTTACTGTTTCTGGTTTAACCTTCGATGGTGATCTGCTATCTGGAACTGGAATTAGTGATGATTACCACAAGACCACGGTGTTCAACCATGTCTACTGAAAATTGCTATGTTGTGTTTGAAGATCTAGAGTAGGCTATGTTGAGCACTATAACAAACAGTTCTCTTTTATATTTTTCCTATGATGTGTGCACTGTATTATGAATGCCCAGTGTGCATCACGGCACATAATTGTTATTATGGTGATAGTATCTGTTCATATTTGTGTCTTGGAACATATGCGTCGCATTTGTCTGTGATATTTTGACTTGTTCTTTATTGTTAAGATGTTATGTTTTGACTTTCAAGATGTTTGCTTCAAAATACCTGCTCCTTTTGCATGTGACTTGCTGGTGGATGTTGTGTGATCGTGCTTGCTAAGCTGATCTTGTACGATCCCTTTGTCTTGAAGATAAAGAAAAAGTCTTGCTAGAGATATCAATCGTGAAGCCTCACGAGGAAACTTCTTTTTTTCTCCGAAGTCTAAACCAGGATTTGTGTGCTGTGGCTTCAAAGTTGGACCATAAGCCACCCCTGGACAAGTATCTTTGTAGCTGATTGGGTGCAGCAGAGTTAGAAATCAGAAGAGTCACAAGGCTTGAAACTTTGTTCCGAGGAGGCTTTTGAGATACTGACAACTTGAAATCATGTTGCATGTGATCTCTATTACTTTTCTCTGGCGTTCCTGTTTTAATTGCGATCACAAAACAGGAGGCTTATTACTTAAATTAAAGTTCACACGATCTGGCTTCGGACTAGTGTCACGAAAAAAGTGCCTCTATCTCACATTGGACGAAGAAAGTGCCTCTATCTCACATTGGACAGGAACGGGAGGTCTTGAGCTCTTTAAAAACGGGTGTGCTGCATAAGCGCGTTTATGAGGGAAAGAGTAATGACCCTGTGACAAGTGGTATCAGATCAGATCGGATCTCGTCTGACTCATGCCAAAACTCCCGGGCCCAGGAGGACTCAGGCTAGGCAAGGTGGCCGACGGCAACAAAGACGTTGCCGGAATCGGGTGGGAGAGAGTGTCACGAGAAAAGTACCTCTATCCCACATCGGACAAGAACGAGAGGTTTTGAACTCTTTAAAAGCGGGTTTGTTGCACACCCCTATAAGTTGAAAAATACTGATCCAAAGCCATTTCAAGCCCAACCTTACTAAGCCTGAAGTGCCGTGGGTATTTTTTTCTTCTAATGTATCTATATTTGTTTGTATAGAAAATCGGGATTAGAACTTACTACTCGATTGATAAGTGCATGTCTTTTTATCCGAAGGAGGAGATTCGAATTCTTCCTCAAACTAACCTTCTTACCACACTAGAGAAATTGCCTGTTCTTGTTCTCAATATAACTGCAGCTGGCAACAGTTGGGGTAAAGGTCCATGTATTCTGTACTCCATTCCTTACATACCAAGGATTGTGACACAGAATGTAATGATTGGGAAATTGATGGGATTAGCTGGCAACATATTAATCTTGACTCTGAGATTTATATTAAGAATCCAACCTTTATTGTACATCATGATGATGATAGCAACAGAGCATGATAAAGAAATCATTCCATTTGCAATGGTTTTTCAATAATCATTGGATGATAGGCAACTGAAATTATAACTATGCATAAATATTGCAATGAAGCCTTACCCCAAAAGCCCAGAAGTTTCAGGTTTACATCCCACAGGGAAAAGCCAGGAACAACTGACTTTTGTCTGTAGGAATGAAAATGGACCATTTCCTATAATCAAAAATTAAAATGGAATCATGATACAGGTAAAAGTTTCACTACTAATATGCCTCTGCAATCCCAAACAGGACTGAATGGGATTCAAGCTACATACACCGGCCATTTAAGTCAAAGATATCGAAAACACAATCAGGAAGTATCATCAAGCACAGCTGACTTCTTCAATCTACCAAAAATATACTAATTATAGACGTAGTTTAGTATCTAATCATCTAAATGAAAATTTTATCTCACTATAGGTTAAAACCAACAGGGAAACAATGTTACAAGGCAGTAAACTCAACTCCCAACTTTGAGACTGCACCGAATGGGACTCAAAGAGTACAAAGATGGGTTGTATAGTCTGCTTCTTATCTTGTTCAGCTGGCAGGTCCGGTCCAATTAGGAGGAAGGCGGTCAGATGCCACAGGAGGCATGCTACAGACATTGATGTCAATGGGATATAAGCGGTACTTAATATCCAAATCGTTAAAAATCTTAACCATCTCTTCAACCAGGAGAGCTCTTCTTGCCCACCTCTCTCCCATGTCTTGGTGATTCATTCTATGTGTCAGCCATATTGCTATCCTTACTCTGTTCAACTCTTCAAGTTCCTTAAATATAATCATTGGAGCTGGGTACCAGTGATCACTCTTGTGCTCGATGTAACTGCAGTAAGAAATGATTTATTGAATCAGACATGTTCAGCATATGTATGTGATTTACCAATACATTCCATAGATGCAACAAATCCAGCATACATTTCCTTCATGCTCATCCGCATCAAATAAACTTACCCAATTACTGCAACAAAAGACGATAATCTCAAAGAGGCCAGATCTTTATCAATTAGATTCTCAAATGCATTTACTTTCAAGGTATTCCAAATAATCTTTCTATTGTATATCTTAGACACTTCAAAATATACCACAGAAATATCAATAGAAACAAAATATCTAGTCCAAAAAATAACTTCGGTAAATAAAGGCTCTAACTCACAAATATCATATCACCAATGTGGTATTTCCATGATCACACAACAACAAATTGCCAAACATTAACAACAAAGACTCCTGTAAATGAAAGCAAAGCAAGGAAAAACAGTTAAATCTTTTTCCACATACCTCAATATCCTCTGCTTCATCAGACCAATTTTTTCTGCAGGAGTTTTCACATGGATACAGAATTCAACTGCATCTCCCATGTCAGGGCTACGATAGTAGTTATTGATGGCCTTAGTAGCCAGGACACTGTTTGGAATTATGATCTTCTGGTTGTCATATCTTAGGAAAACAGTAGTCAAGATATTCATTTCCTCCACTACCATCTGAAATTCATTAAATATGACTTTTGAGTCCCCAAGAATTTTAATAAAAATTAAGAATAAACAGAATTTGCATAATCATAAAGATTAAAGGAAGACAAAATTCATATGCTTATATAAGTACCTGAACTGCATCAATTTCACACCTGTCACCCACATCAAATGGGTGCATAACAAATAAGAATATAATAGCTTCAAATACTGTCTTGCAGGTATTTCCAAATACGAATGCGACTAGAAGCAGTTGAGAGCTAATAAAAACGAGAACTTTACTGGAAGCAATTCCAAGTATGAGGAGCCAAATAACCACTATGATGATGCCGACCAGAACATTCACCATCCGATGAAGTCTGTTCACAGCTGTTTTGGTATCATTCAGTGTCAAGGCAAGTGCCCTTCGTTCTCTAAAAGCATTCACCTAAGAGATTGAAATGCATCACATTTTTGCATGCATACAAAGAAAATCTTAAACTTGTACATGCAACTTCTGTTTTAGTGATTGGGTTCATGCAGGATAAAGAAAAAGGGGGGATGGGGCATTGCTGTAGCCTGTAGTCCTAAACAAATAACAAATACTTTAAAACACAAGGTTTTCTTTTCCTCAGATTTTAATGCAATAAAGCCAGTACTGTAAGTTCTAATATCTCAAAAAGAATCAGTAAAAAAGGTCTATTGAGATTGCACTACATTCTAAACAGAATATGATACAAACATTCTTCCAATTAAAAACTCAATACAGATATCAATTAATTTAGTTTTGTGCACATCATATTATCTTGTTACCTTTGCCATACTAAGTTTTCTAACACTTAATTGTTATCCATTGGAACATACAGGGATAAATATGTGACCACAATCTAACATTTGATTAGCTATTTAAAGAGCACTTAAACTTCAATTTGAGACGCATCCAGTAGGGAAGGTTTAGAACAAATTGGATGTTCTATGCATTGTTTAAAATATAACATTGTGCATATGTCTTCAACAGATTACATATACGCAAAAGAGAATATACTAGAAGTAAATCACTCTGCAAAGCATTGGTTCCCAATTCTTACCACCCAATTCTTGAGAGCCTTCTTGCTAATTCTCCTGCTTTCAGATGCTCCTTCAAAGAGACTCATAGTCTTGAAAGCCTCTTCTTCTTGCAGAAAACGTTCAATGTCCTCCAAGTAGATGTACCTGAGAAGACAATTATAAGAAATAAGACAATGAAAAAACCTCCTTGGTATATGTTTTATAAAAACTCAAGCCATACACTTAATATTATATCACCACCAAACCTGCAACTCATCAGTCATATTGTAATTCTGGACCGGTATTTGTGTCTTCCATTCTTATTAAAATGAATCCATCAACAGAGAAACAATAATTAACAAACAAGAGAAAACACAATTGTTATACATGCCACACCCCACTCGATCCAACAGAAGCAATGCAACTTTAAGATTGTAACCCAAGGGAAAGACATGAAGGTTAACCAAATCAAACTAAACATAGCAATATATAGCTATATTGACACTGTACTTCTTGTTCACCATGATTCCCTTGGTCATGCCTTGGGTTTATGATCCTTCCTGTTCCATTTTCAACATTATTCAGGTGGGAATCATATGTTTTTGCTTCAGATTGGTCACATAGGGTGAAAAAAAATGGAGGAACATGGAGATGCAAAGAGGCTTTGAAGAAAATGGAAGTTGATTTCCACTGTATGAAGAAGTACTGATGTCATCAAAATGATTTGGAAGCATACATTCTTAGTGATGTCCTGGCTTTATTTCAACACTTCCTTTTCTTTTGTTTGGGGTCAGGGTTTGTAATATGTTTGGGGATGGGAACATAAGCTTTCAT